GAAATTACACAAATTCATTAACAAGAAAATATAAAAGAAAATTAGTTGTAATTTTAGTGATTAAAGATAAGAAAAAGTAAGAGTTTGAGTAAAAAAAGTGTTATATAAAAAGAAAACAATAGTACAAACATAATTATAGATAATTATAACAAAGAAATAATGAGATAAAAAGAATAATTGTAACAAAAGTAAAAAATAAAATAAAATAAATATATGAAAGATTGGTTAAAAATAATGAAATAAAAAGATAAAAATAAATATAATAGAAGTATAGATGAGATAAACCAATAATAAAAATATAAGTTTTATAGTGAAAAATACAAAAATAAACAAAATTAGTGCAACAGTAAAAGAAAATAAAACAAAAAGTATACAAAAATATGATTAATATTTAGATATTATAATTTAGATATCAAAAAAGTAATGATATACACTAAATATAATCATGTAATAGGATACAATGTAAAAATAAAGGGACAAATTAATTTGATCATCATTGAGTTACATGATGTAACATTAATATTCTTTATAATACATCTTAATTTTTGTTGATCAATAATTAAGTAATTATGAATTTTTTTGTAAAAATGATAACACTATCCTATAAAGTTAGTTAATATTATCTAGAATTCTAATAAAAGTAAAGATATTCTTATTAAAAAGTTAATCAATAAAAAAAGATTACTTAATAATAAATTATTTGAATTAAAAGAAGATTTCTAAACTCATTCTAGCTGTTTAACAAAATGAACACTTTGTTACCTATCTTTAATAAATTAGTCACTTCCAACTTTAATACTTAAAACATGTAAAAATCTTTAGTTAAATATAATAACTCTTTCATCTGATCAAAATACATGGAGAATATGTAATTTATATTTGAAAGATTATAAAACTAACTGAAATGGTGACACCATTCATTTTTATTTTTTATTGTTAATAATTAATTAGTTTGCACACAAACTACCACAGGAAATCTTTAGAATCTTTAGTGAATCCCATTAATTGTAAATCATTTATCTTTGTTCTTTCACTGTTATGTTACTTTGTTAGTTTATTAATTTTAACAATTTTTGAATTAACAAGAACAATATGTCAAAAAAAGCTTGAATTTGATTTCTTGATAATGAAATAGATTTGCTTGATTGGCCAGCTCAATCTCCTGACCTAAACTCCATCAAAAATCTTTGAAATGAGATTGACCAGTGGTTGTGGCAACTTCCTGGTCCACTTCAAGCAAAGATGATTTGTGGGCAAAGCTCCAGATTATGTGGAATGGCATTAAAGCAGACTTCTGTGAACGGTTGGTTTCTTCAATGCCAAAAAGGGTGAATGATGTTATAAAGGCAAAGGGTGATTATACGAAATGATAATATAATATTGTAGTTCATTAGTTCATATTTTTTTTAACTTGATAATAGTTCAATAAAAAGAATTCTTCCTTTAAATATCATCGTCGAAATCGGGCAATTTACGCAGAACGCTAAAAAATTTCAAAAAAGTTGGTTAATTTTTGTTAATATCAATAATCAATATTAACGAATATAATTCACTTACTTTTGTTTCCGCGTAATTCTTCAATGGTGAGATATTCGTATCTCGCCAATTTTTTTTCCGTGTTCCATTTCTTAATGTTGATCCCAACGAAATTCAACAATTTACGCGAGTTGACGAAAATAGTCCGTGAAACACCCCCGGGGGGGGGGGGGTTAGACCATTACCTATTGCTGATGATTAACGTATTCAGTTACTTTCTCATCGCTATTAGACACATTATTCTGATTCGATCGTCATAATTTTTTCCTAATCATTAATCTAGGTCTTCTTCTCTCGTTGCTGCTTCTCATCGAGTAGGTCGTGATAAAGCATCTAAACGTGCCAGTGCCGAAAAGCTTCGGAATTGCACGAGAAAATTACCGGACAGCCATCGGAAATCAATGGTCCGTCGTCATTTTTGTTTTTACATTGCCAACGTATAACTTTTGCTATAAATTTATTTACAGAAGGTGAAGTCAAACCTGATACTCCTATTAGTCAATGATGATTAGTGTATGTAAATGCTATTTTAAAGAAGTAATCTCTATATTCCTTTAGGTAATATTTTTATTAGTAAATAAGTTACTAAACAAATGTTAGTGTCTGATTATTTATTAGTTTTTTTGCAATAACAAAGATGTAGTCACAAGGTACATATTTAGTAATTATCAAGCCGTTACTATTAATTATATTAAATATTAGCAATTTGCCAGTTTAATTGAACTCACTCCTAAGAACATCTGGAACGGGCTCGTAATCATTCGAATCATGAACCCGTTCCAGAGTTCCGTATGAATCCAGGCGAAAATTTTCATAGACGTATAAGATCCATGAATACTGGGATTAATGTACTATTTAATTAAATAAATATCAAATAGAGTAAATTCGATTTCTGACTTCCCTTCGCAAAGAAGCGAATTCTCACTTTTCTTACGAGAATGAATTAATTAAAAATAATTTTTGTCTTTAATGGAGAAAGAATTGTTGCTTTCGCCTAAAAAAGCCTTTTTGTTATCGAAAAAAGCACATGATCTTTCATGCAAACCACATCGTCGAAGGTGTGAAACAATGGATTACCAGCTACGGATTTGTGCCAACTCGTTATATCAATATCGATATATACGAACCACAAACTACTTTAAATTTGTATATTATACATGTATTTCTTAAATATACCTAACGCCAACATATGTGTATGTTTCCAGCAAATAACGTGAAAAATTTATGGATTTTCTTGAACAATCGCTCAAAGCACAAACAAGAAAAAATCCTACTGAAGTAGTACTTGCTCACCAGTCTATACAGTAAATTACTCAGCTCGAAAATAAAGCAAGTTTCTATTATCCACCAATTAAATCAGTACAAATTTATCTATCAAATAATGAGTGTTCCTGTTGTAACTTTGCCGCCATTTGGTATCGAAATCTCCATAGTTTTTGCGGTGTCTTTAGTATTAATGTTGTTGGTTTCTATTATGGTGGTGTTTTTTCTGGAGTTTCCCGTTTAAGTTGCCGTTTTTGTTATCGACATTCCTGTTGGTATTGTCATTGTTATTACTGACATTAGAATTCCCAGCATTTAGCAATCAATGTCATTTCCATTGGTATTGCTTCTTTTATTTTCGTTATTTCCGTTTTCGGTATTCCTAGAATCGAACGAACTTGACGAATTTGGAGGATCAAGTTCAGTATTTAGATTATTGTTGCCCATTTTGTTACTGCTATTAATGCCATTATTATTTCTATTTTCATGGTTTGCGAGAGTGGTCCGTAAAGCAACAAACGGCGACAACATTGACACTAGGAGGCCGTTGTTCACGCAAAACAGTCCACGATACGGGTAAAAGAGAAGCACAAAATTCGTGATTGACGTGTTTGTTCTTTGCATCATCACAATGGTCGATGATGGCTGAAGCAAACTATTAACATTAATAATAAACGGAAGGTAAATTTACTTTTCTATTTGAGATATTAAAACTGAATGAATTGTTTTTCACCATATACAGTAGGGACCATAAGTATCCGACCGCCCGGCATTACCCAAAATCATACTATAACGATCACCCTGATCGCTTGTACATTTATAGATTGTCAGAACTTCGATATCGATATCGGATAACTTTCACATCCCAAATACAATCAGTTATTTCATAACACATATCTCAATATTCAATAATCTAATTCTTGACGTTC